CTTTGTCTTTCTAACATCTCTTTCTGTTATCAAAATGCTCTTTAGCACTAGGCGTCTAGTAAGCGATAGCTATCGCTTACCTAGACAAAGGCCGAAGCACCACAGACACACTTCAAGCACAAACTCGTATTTGTAAATAAATCTAGTTAGAACGGCCTCGGCCAAAGTCTTACATAGCCTCGAGCTCACTAGACTCTAATGGAACAATAATAACAATAATAATGGAAGTACTACGGACTTTAAGTAAATAACAGTATCTATTAAGTAAACTATACGTGTAAACTGAATACTTTTTAAAAATAATAGAATTATATTATCTATACTAAAAACCTAGTCATAAGTTAGAAACTAAAACTTCTATACACTAAAAATGAGTATCTATATAAAAATTAACTAATTCACTTTATATAATGATTTCACTTTAAAGACTATTATAGTAAGCTCAGCTTTAACATTATAAAATAAGTAGATAAAGAATATACTTTTTGAATAAAAAGACTAAGAAATAATGAAAATAATTTTCAATACTAACCACTAAATACTACTAAAGACTTACGTTAAATATATAGTTTAAAAACTGCTTTCTATAATTTATGGAGTAAATATAAGACTAGAGATAAGTACTTTTATAGTTAATAGAAAGGTGTAAGTAAAGAAGTATTCCTTTATGTAAGTATTCAATCTTAATAATACTTACTATTTAAACTGCAAGCTAACTTAAAATAGCTATTTACTTAAATTATTACGTTTTAAAAGCTAGTCTACTTTTTTTATATTTTTAAAGTAAGTAGGTAGGCCTACTTTATAAAGAAAAACTTTTAAAGTATAACTGATAAAAAATATAAAAGTAGTAAGATATATGAACAATAGTAAAGTAGTTACTAATTATATAAGCCCTCTAAAGGTACTATATTTAAAAAAGTTGGAATATACTAACTATTATAAGCTTTACTTTACTATAAATAGTAACTACTTAGTAAAACTATACTAGTATAAAAGTAAACTAGTTAAGATAATAGAAAAAAAACATTAAAGCGTAGAATATTAAGCCTACTTATAAATAAGCCTTTTTTAAAATATACTTAAAGTAAGAATTACTATTTCAAAAATTTTATTTAGTAGCTTAACTAATAATAGAAAAAGTATAAACATAAGAACTATAAATATGATAAAGCCTACCATAGTAGTATTACTTACTATAAGGATACTGTTCATTGAAACATTATTTTCTTTGATAAGATTTTTTTTATATAGTAGAACTGCCTACCATACGCACGTAAGCTTTTATATCTAGCAATATAATATAAAACTATATGATTATAAATGTAAACATATAAGTAAATAGCTGAGAAAAATAGGGTAAAAAATTACTTTTTATAAACTAAAGTATATAGTAGTAGTAAGTATAAGCTAGATAATATTATAAATATATATATAGCACTTCTACCTATACTGGCTGTAAGGGGCTGCGCTCTGGGGAGCAATCGCGAGGTATACAAGAGGTTGTATTCGATAGAGAGCTATAGAGTCTACTTGCGTGGTGTTTATTTACTTGTCGGAGAAAGGTTACACCGAGTGTCTAAGCGCGTCGTCTGGGCGCCGCTCAGGCCTCGCACAGATGCCGGGTTGCAGAGTAAGACCTGGCGTCTGCTGCTTGACCGAG